TGACGCTTCGAGATCAACTACCCAATGCGCACTCAGTATTCATATGTTTGTTGACGACAAAAGACAGTCACACTCACACGCTCGCATCATTCATCGATATATTCCAACATAAAAAAAAGATATTGCTTTATTACTCTATTAATAAAAGTTTCTATTTTTCATATTCATAGTAGTTAAAGCACCATTATATATGGTGCGTGATAAATAAAGTAATATTTAAATAAATAATTCTAGAATTTTTATTTAATCGAAATAAGATACTATAATCACTTAATTGGGATAAAATATTGTTTATTGGATTAAAATATTGTATTTTATTAAGAGAAAATAAGTTAGAAATACAAATGACGTTTGTACACTTAATTTAGAAATTTTGATAACTTGGAAATAGACATTTCATACAATTATTCATTGTTCAAATAAATACATTTTTAAAAATTAATATCTATGATTATCACATTTTCTTATACGTTAGTTTAACAAATTTTCAGAAAATCAATGATTTATTATTTGTACATAGAATTATCGTACTTATGTATGCATACATATACACGGCACGCACACACGATACGCACACACACATGTATTTATACTTATCTGTTATTCATAAATTGTTTGTCTACGTTCATTAGCAGTGTAGACACTTCAACGAATAGCAAGAAACAGATTTGTAATTATCCATAGATTGAGGAAGTTCTTCGGGAACTCCAATTATTTCTGTTCAAGCTGTTCGAAAAATAAATATATTATAATAGATAAAAGTACAAAAATAATTACTGCTATATTTTTTACAAAAAGGTAGCTACAACATCGTATAAATTTTTCTTTGGCATAATAATAAGAAATATGAAAACTAAATAATTCAATCGAGTGCACTAAGGTATATAAATGAATGGAATATACGAATGAACGAAAAAGTATTAAAATTATCAATAGATTAAAGACTATATGTAACTGTTATCGACTTGTTATATACTCTTTACTATTACACTTTACTATTACACTTTACAGATATCTTTTGTTGCAGATGCAATAAAACTAATCATGACATTAAATCCATTTGATCTACGCATCTATATGATTAGCATTAGATGATTTTCAATTCGTTAATTTTTATAAATTATGTTATAATATTTTATATTATAATATTTGGCAGTTTTTATCGTAAATGTATTATAAATAAAAATAATCAAAAGTTTTAACAATAAAAAATTCTCCCTTAAAATAAATTTCATTGGTTATATAAATAGTTACTCTATTTTAATTCTATTTTAATTCTATAAAATACTATGATTATTTTGAAAATATACAATATAATATTTCATATCTTGACAACGTAATTTGATGGGAACAATCCTGTTTTTCCTGTGAGTCTTCCGTACCACCAACCACCTTCGTCTGAAAGAAGATATTTTATTTCAAGTTTTCTGCTATCATAAAAACTAAAAAGTATACAGACATGTTCAACTATTAATTGGACTAATTCTAACAAAAGTTAAATAAAAAAGTTGTTAATCAACTAAAATGAATAATCATCATTTATGAATGTATCGGTTTTACAATAATGAATAACAAGACACAAAACTTTATGATAAATATACATTTTGGTATTTACCCTTTCTGAATTTTGTTTATTTTG